TATATATATAAATTTTCATCCTGAACCATCATGACTCAGGGGTAATTTGGGGATGCTTTCAGCTACAGTTCAATAGGTCTAAAACTCACAGATTAATCTTGAATTTTAAATTAACATTCAGTATTTGTTGTGAATCACTCTCATACCATCAAACTAATTTTTAGCTCAGTATATGACAGACATTTATATTGTGTTTTCTGCCATCTTGAATCAGAATRGCTCTAAAAGTTGTCAGTTTAGACGTGCAGCCATTGATCACATCCTGAGAGTTTCATTWAAATCTGACAGCAGTTCATGATACATTTTGCTAGAGTTGACATCATAAATCAAGACATGGTTTATAGGGCTTTGATGTAAGATGAAGAAAAAGTCTGAAATTTAGCATTACATCCAGTGAAAACAACACATAAACTCAATAATAATTACCTTTTTTTAATTTCTATTCAATAATAGCAGGGTGCAGTTTTACTGGTGACTGAATTGAGCTTAAAAGCACAACAAGCAAATAAACTAAAGCATGAATTTATCCTGTTCTGGGTTATGGTCATTTATTTAGTTATTCCCTATTTTAAATGATAGGGAGACAAGCACATACCTACCCATCCAACAGTTGCAGACTGTGGATGGATGGATTATATAAGATTTTAATAGAACTGAATGAGGACAGCTAAACTAGCAGTTTCCACTTTTATAGAAAAAAAAACTCATGACTCCTCATCGCCATCTGGTGCTTGAATTAATAAAAGACACATCAATAATTCTTTAAAAAATTGCATATATATACTTGACAACGCCTTCCAAGATTAGACTGTTAGTTGTGTGGTGTCGATGGACAGATGGTTGATTTGCTCCTTGAAGAGGTGTCTCGTGTTTCTTTTTAAATTTTGAATAAAGATTGTATCCGATTACACACAATGGGAAATTAGTTGCATTAAATCTTTACGTTTACTCTTCTTACTGTGTGGAAATAAACCACATCGTACAGCTAATTYTCAGAAACGTTTCAAGAATGACGACATGTTTATTCAGCACAACGATACTGAGTAACTTTTACCCTTTGAACATGTTTGCAAGAATCTTATAAAGCATTTTTATGCATTTTTATGGGATTAAAGCAACTTACATTTGTCAGATATCCCATTTAGYGTCAGTTAAATAGTAAATGGAAAACTGTTATGGTGCTTTCCAGCTTCATRGACAAACATAATGGTACTTTGTTTCCATCTGGTGTTTGAATCAGTGAAATACACATCAATGTTTATTTCAAGACGTGGACAGCTACTCAACAAGGCTGAGCTTTACCTTTGAATGAACAGTTTCTTGTGTGTTTCTCTGACCTCCTGCAGCAATGTGTTCCCTCCAAGATGACACTGACAGCGCCACCTGCTGTCAGTGTCAGTGACCCCCCCGGAGGAAAATCCACCAGCCACCACTGCTCCAGATCTCTTAGATCTGTTGTGGGTTTTAGATTTTGCTTGATCCTGAGGTCCAGGCTGATCCACAGAGGACTTGCAGGTTGAAGCCCCTAAATCAGTAGCTCCCAAAGTTGGGATTCGGACCCCATCATGGGTCCTGAGACATTTGGGCCTTATAAGGGTTTCCAGAAGTAATTACCTTTAAAAATGACTAATGTTGTTTTTAGTTGTTACAAAAGTGTGAAGTTAATTTACTTAAAAGTTAATGAAATTAGCATATTTTTTACTTTTTACTTTTTACTTT